AGTGATTCAGACTCGCAGTAAAAGCTATCAATATGGAGAGCCTAAAATAGCATGGGTATAAATAGGCAAGACAGTGAAATTCAGTAAAATTTTGATTTTAAATCTTAGCTTTAAATGGCTGAAAATAATATGGCATAATCAAACCCGCAGATGAAATGCGATAATTTACAAAACTGTGGGATATTGAACCAATTATATTCTTTTTAATTATAATTTTATGAGTTTAAATTTAACTTAAGTTTAGATACTTTCTAATATCTACCACTTGCAAATGAATTTTCCAATGGGTAATGATGAACAATAGCGTCCCAGATATCGTGACGACTCACATGCAAATGTACGGAGTAATGTAGTTGAGGGGTAGTAACTATACCCAAATTTATACACTTTGCTCTCAGAAGGCGTGCTCCGGAATCAACCTCTTTTGCCAACGCAGGAGAAGACGGTCTCGTGTCCCAACCAATATACACACAGGGCTCGACAGGCGACTGAACTGAAATTAAAATAAAAATATAGCCAAGCAGGTAATAAATAAATATTAAAGTGTGAATAAGACCTACTAGGAAATTTTTTCCAGTGCGAAAGAAACCAAGCTTTCAAGCGGTCACTGGGGCAAGTGACTAAATCTTCACAAATCTTTTCCCATGCAATTTCCAACATCTCCCCACCATTATCTATAATCTTTATGCCATTATCTTCATAGTGATTATGTGAAGCTGTAACCATAACGCCGACGGCTTCACCTTTCTATGAAATGAATTTTGAGAAGTTACTCATTTACCAAGTCTAAGGAACGTAATGCAGCCACTACTCCCGCACGAATGCAGACACCATGTAGTAAATGACTTTTTGAACGAAACCCAGCGGTTCCATAGCGAATATTCATAGAATCGTTACTGGGGGCATATTGAGCAAGATGGGACACAACATCATCAAGGCAAAGAGTTGCAGCTTGCATGAGGCGGCATCAAATAAATAAATCACGTTAGTAAAACATGACTAATTTTCTTTGTTTTGCTTAAAAGTTTGAATTATATTGACGTTTTTTATAATTGATTCACTTGAATTTTCAAGTGGCCCGCTCCCAGACACCCCCTCAAACGTATTGTGTGCACTATGTTGGTAAGGTGTATA